TTTTTTTTTTTTCCGTTGTCCTGCCGGTTGTCCGAGGCTCGGGAATGACCGGGCTACCGGTAGCCTGAGCCACGGGCCTTAACAATCCGTAGGTACTGGTGGTTTAAACCACCAGTACCTGGGCCCGCTGTTTGTTTTTGGTCGGGGGCGTGGGCGTGAACGCATCACGTTTTCGGGGATTGGGTACCGGAGCAAAATGGGTGGCAGCGCCAGTCAAAAGAAAGTTGTGCCGGTCCGATTTTGTTTTCTCCGTTTTTCTTTTGGCGTGCACTGGGCAGCGGATTTCCAGCATCAAGGAAACATGCCTTGGAAGTACAGGTGGTTCAATGTTAACATATCGCACGAGCTGTTCTCTCAGCCTGCGGATGAGAGGGTATGATTGAACACAATTTTTTTTTTTTTTTTTTTTTTTTGAGAGCCTTGAGATATTATTGTGAAACTCACCGGCCCTAGTTTTTTTTTCTTTTTTTCTTTTTTTCTTTTTTCTTTTTTCTTTTTTCTTTTTTTTGAGAGCCTTGAGATATTATCGTGAAACTCGCCGGCCCTAGGTAATTCAGGAATTTTGTTCATCTGGTTCCAGCTAGATTCAAACTCGCATCCGGATTTCGACAGCTCATGGGTGTACCACCTGCGCTAAGCCCATTGACACCAGGATGCAGTATTTAGTCTCGGCATTATGGGATTGTGCCAAGTGCCCTCGAAACGGTTACCTATTCGTCCTGCTTTAGCCCGAAGTGACACACATAGCACCTGTGGGCCTGTCTGTGGCTGTTTGTGTGAAATGACCTTTTGTTTTTTTTTTAATTTCTTCGGCCAAATACATACCTGAAATGCTTTTTTGTTTTTAAGTTTTAACAACATCGTTTTCCCTTTTTTTTTCTGTACTGGCAATGCTCCACTACTTACAAGTAAAATTGAAGTAGAATGCCCATTACCCGAACTCTGAGCCAGATACGCCTTTTCTTTTCAAGTCTTTGCCTTTGCGTCCGTGCATGTGGAAACGTATGCACGGGAGAAACCAACACACACACACAGAAACACATGCACGGGAGAAACCAACACACACACACACACACACACACACACACACACACACACACACACACACACACACA